ACCCCCGCCGCCCCTGCCCCAGGCGGTGGGGAGGGGCCCCCCTCCGTTGTCGTGGTGCGTTGTTCTCCGACCCCAGCCCGCCCTGGTCCCCTCTCTCCTCTGCAGGCTCCGCTGTTAACCCATTTGCAGTGCTGATGTCTCTCTCTTTCTCTCTGTCTGTCTCTTGTCCGTCTGTTTCTCTCTTCCTCTCTCGCTGTCTCTTTCTTCCTTTTATCTGTCGTTGTTTTTCCTCCTCTTCCACCCCCTCCACCCCCACGTGTGGCCTGCCCTCTCTCCCCCACCGCCACCCCCTGTGCCACTCTGGTCTGGCTGCCTTGTGCATGCCTCCAGTGGCACCCTCCTGTCAGGCGCCAAAGTGGCCGCCGCAGCGGGGCTGGCGGTGGAGCGGGAAGGCCGGCTGGGGGAGAAGCCAGCGCCGGTGCCACCACCCGGAGAGGACGCCTTGAGAAGCAGCGGGGCTGCCCCCAGCGAGCCAGGCAGCAGTGGCAAGGCGGGGAGAGGCCGCTGGCGGATGGTGCAGAGCCACCTGGCCGCAGGGAAGCTCAACTTGTCCAAGTGAGTGACAGTACCCCATGGCTGCTGAGCCGTGAGCTCAGGCCTGCCCCCAACCAGGGTGGACAGCGGGACCCCTGGCATGCCCGCTGCTGCCCCCAGAGGTGCCGTCCTCGGCCCCTGGCTCATTCCATCCCTTCACAAGACTCCTTCATTGTCCTAGTCATCAGGCACAACCAACTCAACCATGTGGTATCACACACTGGTTCATCAGTCTCTTCCTTTGCCAGTGACCAGGTCATTCCATCCTCTACCCTCAGAGCAGCTTCACTCCAGTCCTTGGGCCATCCCATCCTCTTTAACTGGCCGCCCCATCTCAGCCATCAGATCATCCCTCTGTGGGCAGCAGGCCCATGGTTGTCCCACCATGGGACCATCCCATTTCTGGGGAGCAGGCCCATCTCTGCCTGTGTCTATCCCACTCATCAGCCAGTAAGCCTTTCCTCTTTGGGCCAACAGATGGCTCTAGACCCAGCCTTGAGCCATTCCATTTTGAGTGACTTCATCTGCTTGTCCCTGCCTTGCTTGTACCATGACACCATCTACCACAGGGTTTCATCGATGAGCAGCCCCTGGGCTGCCCCAGATGTTCATCTTAGCCATGCCCATTGGCTGTTCCTGTCTTGGCCAGTGAGCTGCCCCACTGTTGGGGGCTCTTAGGAATTAGGGTTGTTGAGTACCAGCAATCAGCTCCTTTCAGATGTCAGATGATCAAAAGAGCTGTCATTTTTAAATGGCTGCCTGAACTTACCAAACAGTCATGGACTCTTAGTGAAAAAATGATACGTCTTCCCACTAAGGCAGCCGTACTCTCATCTTGGCTTCCAGACACTTCCAGTTTCCCACAGTGGAGCCCTTCCAAGTCCCAGGCCCTCTGAACCATGAGCAACCGTTTTCAGCTGCTGACATTCCTGGCCAATGAAGCAGCCTTCCCTTTAGAAGGCCAGCAGCCCTGACCCCTTCTCAACTATTGGTGATCCAGTGGCCTTAACCTAGGGCCCTCCTGGTTTTCTTCGGAAGTTCCACCATCGGGACCACAGAGGACCACCTGACTGAGGCTTTATTTTCATATTCCCTCCAGTGAACACAAGTCCATTTCTCCTTGACACGTGATCTCAGGAATGTCCCTAGAGATGATCAAAAGATGATCAAAGTCCCATCATAGAACCAAGTCCTCCCTTCACAGGCTACCCCAGCCAGTCTCCAGACTGACTGGACTTCTGTGCCATTTACTGGCTTCAGGCCTGGAGGAACCAGTTTTAGTTTTCTGTGACTGAAGGGTTGTAAATTGGACTAATTTTGGATGTGATAGGAAACCAAAATGAGGTCAGCAAGGAGGTGGGGGAGATGGCCAGCAGTGTGCAGTCCTCCCCCCCTGCTCAGCCTGCCTCCAAGGGAGCTGTGGGCCTACCAAGGCTGGCCAGGCCTGGGCCTGCCCCTAAGGGTAGCCCTGTTTCCAGGCCCAACTCAGGCCAGGCAGCTGCTCCTCTCATAACCCCAGCTACAGCCATGTTTTGCTTTCTTCTCTCATCCTGTTTTCTCTCTCTCTTCTCTCTTTCTCTCTCTCTCTCCTCTCTCTCTCTCTCTCTCTCTCTCTCTCTCTCTCTCTCTCTCTCTCTCCCCTTCTCTTTCTTTCTCTACAAAGCCCACAGGGGCTACCTAACTGTTGTCTTTTGGTTCCCAGGGTAGGATTCAGGGGGCAAGCATGGCTGAGGTCAGGCTGCTATGGTGAACGTGGCTCCCAAGGGCCCTGGGTCCTCCCAATACCCCCAGGATGTACTTGGCTATCCATGACCCTAGAGCAGAGGTTGGTGAACTCTCTCAGTAAAGGGTCAAATGACATCTGGGAAGTATCTAGCTTTGCAAGCCAGGTTGCATTTTCACACTGCTCAACCCCACCATTGTAGCAGGAAAGCAGCTATACATGGAATGTAAACAGATGCTAGTGGCTGGTCTTCAATAAACCTTAATAAAAACAGGTGGTGGGCCAGATTTGGCCTACAGGTCACAGTCCACCAGGCCCTACCCCAGACAGCTGGATTGGGAAAGGGAGAAGAGACTAGAATCTCTTCTCCAGAGAGAAAGGACCTACCTGCAACTGTTAACCCAGTGTCTACTTGACTCTCTAGTACTTAGGTGACATCCTGCCCTTGGTCCTACCATGGGAGGTGCTGAATCTTTGCTGAATCACAAAGGGAACCACAGATGTCTACCTCCAACCCTTGGCCTAGGAGCTATTAGTGGTATAGTACTTCCCTGAACCTGACCTCTACTCTGAGGTAGAGCACTAGGGGATTATTTAGTACCCTCAATCTACAGCCAACAAACCAAAGCCCAAAGATTGGATAACCTCTTCCAAAGTTCCATAGTTAATAAGTGGCAGAGGTAGGCTTTGAATCCAGGTCTTTCTGGCTCTACACTAAGCCCTGTTTCCTGTTGGTTCTTACTCTGCTTCCCCTAGCATGTTCTGAGATGTTGATAGGCAAATGGACAGGTACCCTCTTAAAATGTTTAAAAGACAAGACAGCCCACTGACAGAACTGTGGCAAAGTAGCCAGACCAGTGGCTCCTGGAACTCCATAACCCCTGTCTGCTCTGTCCTTGGTCCCTTTCTCTAAGTAGGAATCATTCCCAAGGTACCAGGGCAAGGATGCCCTAGGAGGAAGACAGAGTTCTGCAGCTGTCAGAACCCAATCCTGAGGCCACCCTGGTCACAGGGCATGTGTCTGTGAGCCAAGGCTGCCTTCTCTCCTCATCTAACAAAGTCCAAGTGGTAGCTGCCCCGCCTCCCCAGCTATTACTAGGCCAGCTCTGTGCTGGCCTGGATTTCCTTCTGTCTCCAAAGGACAGTGGTACCTAGAACACAGAGGCAGACATTCCTAGTGTCCCCCAGTGAGATGGCAGAGAGGGCAGCAGCAGCTCCCTTACCCCTCCCATACCAACATGACAGGCAGTTTCAGGGCCCTGGGGACCTGCCTTCACCATGCAGCCACTACAGTTCCTGAGGCCCACTCAGACTGGCAGAGAGGTCGGCCCAGACAGGAGGTACTGGTGCACTAGCAAGCCAGGGCCAGAAGGGAGTGGGCTGGGCCAGCTTGGGGACCTCGGGGTGGGTGAGGTGGTGGCAGCGACTGCAGCAGCGACAACTCCGATGGAGGCCTGGCGAGGTCCTGCCGAGCGTGCCCTGCACTGGGGCCTCCCAGCCCTGGCCCTCGGCTTCTTTCTTCTCCACTGTGATCCCTTCACCTGCTTCTCCTTTCTCTCCTCTCCTCCACCTGCCCCAAGTTTCGAGGACTCCACCTTGTCCACGGCCACTACCCTTGAGTCTATTCCCAGCTCCACCGGAGAGCCGAAATGCCAGCGACCCCGCACCCTGATGCGGCAGCAGAGCCTGCAGCAGCCGCTGAGCCAGCACCAGCGGGGTCGGCAACCCAGCCAGCCCACCACCAGCCAGAGCCTGGGCCAGCTGCAGGCCCACGCGGCCTCGGCACCGGGCTCCAACCCCCGGGCCTATGGCCGGGGCCAGGCTCGGCAGGGCACCTCGGCTGGCTCCAAGTACCGGGCAGCTGGTGGCCGTAGCCGCTCCAACCCAGGCAGCTGGGACCACGTGGTGGGGCAGATTCGAAACCGAGGCTTGGACATGAAATCCTTCCTGTAAGTCCTCCCCTTGAGCAGCCCGGCTCCCTACCTCCCCCACCCAGCTTCCTTCCCAAGTCTCCTTGGAAGCAGCCAGTCATGGGACAATCTTAGTCTTTCATGTCCTTGGCAATGTGCCAGGCAGGCTCCGACTCCCCCTCCCGCCTCTTGAGGCTTATGCCTGAGCCCCTACCAAAAGGGATTTGTAGCCCAGCACCCTTCCTTCTAAGGACCCCAGGACCCACTGCCTCTGAGGCTCAGAGAAAAGAAGCCCTGTCCAAAGTTAAGTGGGAGCACAAAGTTAAGTGTTCTGGAGGTCCCTGAGATCTGTCCCCCACCACCCCATTCAGTCCTCTGCTGTTCTTGACACTGTGCCAGCCTTGCCTTGCTCTGCCCTCCCTTCCTTCTCTCCCAAACTCAGCCCTATTACTAAATCTCCAGGGCCCTGCCTTCCTTACCTCCAATATCCCCCCCATTTGTAACTGGACCCTGCTGACCTTCCTGCCCCAGGCTTCCTTTCCTCCCTGTCACTTCCCCATCCATTCATTCCCTCACCTCATCCCTGACCCTGTCTTGCTGACCTTCAGTAAACAACCTGTCCCCCAGCTCTTCCCGGTAATGACCCCTTCCCTGAGAACAAATCAGAGCCACACCCCTAAAGCGGCCAAGCATGCTGTTTCTCTTTAGAACCCAGCTTGGAGAAGCAACACCATGCCGGCCAGCATCTGACCTTAGCCACTTCCTTGACACCCTACCTCCCTGCACTCACAAGGATGCTCACTCTCTTGGAGTCTGATAGATCCGCAGTTGTGACATCACCCTCTCTACCAGCCTAACAGGAGCTTCATTCCAGCCTTAGGGGGATTATTCCTATCACCCAGGTCTCTTCCCTGGGAGACTTCTCAGGTATAGGGAAGCATGCTAGTCCTGGAAAAGAGGGGTAGGAAGGGAAAGTCCAAGATCAAAACTAAGCTCACTGGAAAGATATAGGAGTTCTGAAAGACAATCAGGTTCCTCGAAGAATGTTTGTCCCCATCTGAGAGCCCAGCCAGATCTTCCAGGATAGACAAGAGCCGGTGCCCTGGGAAAGGCCCTCCAACAGCCAGCTGCCCATGCCTGCAAAAGAGCTGTGTGGTCACAGACTGCCAGAAATGCTGCCCAAGGTTCTCCCTGGCAAATCAGGGCAGGCTATCCAACCATCCTTGGGGAAGGCACCCAGATGCTATACTAGAGAAGATGCCCAGCAAGGCCTCCTGTTTTCTGGCAGTGGATTGGGAGCCATAGCTCTGGAGTGAATCTAGGAGATGGAGGGACCTGGTTCTACTGTGATGACATGAACATGTCCCTCATCTGTAGGAGAAGCCTGGGTACCAACTCCTCCCTGCCTACCAGAATTCTGAAGGGAATGGCTCAAATGCCAACATCCCAGGGTATGGCTCAGATGCTAGCATCCTGTGCCCACACTTCTACCCATGCAACAGCTCTCATGCCCCCTTAGGTGCTGGCTACCTCCAAGCTCACCCCCACTTCCTCCACATCCCTCACAGCAAGGGGTTGCAGATTCTCCCTGTAAAGGCCAGATAATTAGTACTTTAGGCTCTACAGGACACATGTGCTCTCTACCACATAAGGTTTGCTTTTTTCCCATAACCCTTTTAGAAAGGAGAAGCTATTCCTAGCTTATGGACTGTACAGAAACAAGTGACAGGCTGAGGTGTGTGGACCTCCACTTTACAGTTTAGCTGCCCTGTTGCCAGACACTCATTCCAAACACTGAAATTCACTTGAGAGGGCCGGCTAGGCCCTGCAGGAGCCCGCCCTCTCCTCTCGTGGAGGGTGCATCCTTTCCCACTTGATGGGTGTATCCCCATCCAGCTAGACAAGCGTGCCTCCCCCCACACCGACTTCCAGCTTCTGCCCCTTGTCCTTGCCCTCACAGCCTGTGAAGCTGCAGAAAATGACAATTTGGGTATTTATGCAGAGGAGCAGCTCAGTTTTTAAGAAGAGCAAAAGGAGTATCTGAAAAATGCATTAACTGGGGAAAAACATGTTTTCATTGGGTTTGCCTTCCCCCAGCTCAACTAGCTCCTGAACAGCCAAATGGAATTTTACCAACTGACAGTAGCAGGAACAAAGAAAGCCAGGAGCCAACCTGAGGGAAGGGGGGAGTTGAGACCCAAAAGTTAGGTGCCAGCACAAGTGTCAGCTTGGAGTGGCTGTGCCCAGGACAAAGACTCAAAGGATATCTCCATGCTTAGCTTCCTCTCACTCAGACCCCAGTGGCATCTCTCGTTTTGTACCCTCGTCCCTCACCCCAGATGCTATGTCTCACCTGAGTCCCTTTCTAACAATCTCTCTGGGGAATAATCACAGAAGCTCTTGTCTTCCATCAGTGACTGAAGTGATGGATCCCTGACCTAGGATCCACTCCTTTCTGGAACATTCTGTTAGCCTCACTGTCTTTCCCTTGGCCCTTCTTGAAATGTACTTTCCTGCTTGCCCTGACTGAGACGCCTTCTTCATCTCTGTTCTGATGAGCTCCACAGAGGTCTCCTCCCAACACTCACAGACTCTGATGGCTTTGTGGTACGGAAGCCACCAGAGCTTCCTTTTCCTCCCAAGAAATTGCAGGTGACCCCAACGAAGCCCAAGGCAGTTCCCCAGTGGTTGTGTGAAAAAGCCTGTGTACTCAAGCTGTACTCCTTGACCTCTGGTCCCGTGCTGCTGCCCACGCATCCCCTCCAAGTCACTCTCATCATGTTGGTACCTGCCCACTGTTCTGCCTTGGCCACGTCCCTCAGAGCAACATCTCACTGTGGGCACAGGCTCCCTGCAGCCCTGCCAAAACATCTCCAGACCTTGCCAAGTTCCTTCACTTTCTCTCTGCCTTTGTTTCCTGGTGCCTACTGAACTGCTTCTCCAGGGAAAGGCCTTCCATTGAACAGGTCCAGGAGGCCTTCGTGGTCATTCTCAGGATCTCTGGGAAGGTGGACACAAGAGAGATCCCACTATGACTGGGATACCAGAAGGAACTTCCTCTGATGAGTTGTGTAACTGGGAGCCTAGAAGAGGGAGCTCCTTAGCTGGTTTCAAGGACACCTGGTTGACGGTGACCCAGCGGTCTATGATGGGTGTCCCTGAGTATCTGCCCATTGGATGTCAGATTTCCCCACAACCTGGGCTCCTGAACCTTCCTGCTCAATCCCCATTCAAGATGTTGACAGTCAACCCCCCACCCACTCCTGGTCCTGCCCCATCTCCCAGGGGACAGATAACCAGAGTGACTTCAGCTGGGGATGCCATGTCCCAGGGCCTCTGCTCCATTCTCCAACCTGTGTGTTCCCTGAGGAGTGTCCCAGCCACCAGACCTCTCCTCAGGCCTATACCCAGCCCCTTTTCCCATGTTACCCCTAGAGAATTCTGCTCTTGGCACGAGGCCAGCTGGACCTCGGGCAGTTGACACCTTCCCTCTGTTCCCTTCCTTCTCCCCCTACTCTGTTCTGTAGCTGTTGACAGTGCTGAAGTTTTGGTTTCTTTCCTCCAGGGCCAGTTTCTTATGCTTTTCTCTTCTCTCTCTTTGTCTTTGTCTCTGTCTCTCCCCTCCCCTCACCCTTTGCCCCTCCCCATGGGGCCTCCTTTCACCCCGGCTGGTGGGCTGCCCATCCCGGGCAGGGAAGGCCGGATGGTGGTGCTATCCCTGGTATTAGGGCTTTCGGAACAGGATGACTTTGCCAATATCCCTGACCTGCAAAACCCAGGAACCCAGACGAACCAGAACGCTCAGGGGGACAAGAGGTACGAGCACGGGCGAGGCCTGCGGTGGCGGCAGCAGCGGCAGAGAAGGAGGCATGGAGAGGCCACCTGCCTCGGCCGGCCCCGACTGCTGGACGAGGCAATGATACCTTCAGTGGATGCTGGAGAGGGAGGACGAGCCCCCCCCTCCCCAGCCAGTGTGCTCTCCCCTGACCACTTCAGTGATGTCCCTTGGGTCTGTGAAGGGATCATCCTGGGACCATTCTGGATCAAGCCTGCTCCTAGCATGCTTGTCCTGGCCTGGAGCAAGCCCAGCCTCCTGGGCCCCATCTCCCTGCTTGGCTCTCTCTGCTGCCCCTCCATCTTTCATCTCTGCCCCCCTTCCCCAGCCCAGAAATCCCTGTTTCTCTGGTGGTTGGTGAATGTGGGGGATGTTAGGGAAGGGCATCAGCCTGTTTTCCCTCATCCCCACCACCGCAACCTCCCTCTCACCTGGAGGGCCTGTTGTGTTGCTCAGCTGTGGAAGAGGAAACCCTGGTCGGGAGGGTCTTGGGTGAGGGACCATGGAGGCTCTTGGTGACCAGAAGGAACCAGAAGAGTGGCTCCTGAACCCAGCTTCCAGGAGTGGAGGGTGGGACTAACTGTTTAGAGGAAGAACAAGTTCTGGCTTTGCCAGGCTCCCTGTCCCTGCTGCCTTCCTTAGGGCTCTGTGAAGACAGGGAATAGCCAATGGCCACAGTACAGGCTGCACCTCCTAGTCTCTTGGAATCCAGGAGTCTCCTGCTGTCCCATGTCAAGGAGCTTGCTCATGAGGAAGAGGAGGATTGGAGGACATAGGGTCTAGTGACATTCCCGAAGGTGGAGCTCTCACATACCTGATCCCCTGACCCCAACTTGGGCTGAGCTCACACTTGTACTCAGTTCTGCTTCCCATGAGGCCAAAGGCCTGTGGGAGAGCATGCGGTCCAGCGCTGGCTTAGCCAGAGCCTCACTAGACAACCTTGCACAAGTCACAGCCCGTGTATAGGTTTCTGATTCTGCCTCTGTCAAACGAAGGATTGGGCAGGGTGAACTCTGAGGAACACACAAAGCTTCTAATGAGGAAATTGGCCCTGGGGCTGAAGCACTTGTCAGATCCTGTGAGCTGGACTGTTTTGTTTGGATGGGCAATCCTGTTGCTCATTAAGAGGCCCTTAGGGACAAGAAGGAGCTGCCCCAGCCTGCTGCCAGGAGCTTGTAGGTTAGGGAAGGGGAGACAGGCTGTATTTGACAGCTGACTTGCCCTCTCGCAGAGGCTTCTGGAGACCAGTCCTCTCATTTCCTCTTCACCTTGAGTATCTATGTTGCATGTCTGGTGGGTCAGAAGTCCCCAGCGAGTAGAAGGGGAGAGTGGGACCAGTGCTTTCACTGCGTGGCACAGATAGTGTCAGGCCCTGAGCCTGTGTGGAGGGATGGAGTGTGGGAGAGGAGCAGAACCTGCCACTCCTACCCCACCTGGGCCTGACAAGCCACAGCGTCTCAAAGGCACAGGCAGACCAGAGGGGCAAGGCAGGGGACAAGAGGATGTAGGGGAACTGGAGCCCTCTGAAAGCTGGTAAGAATCCAAGCCCTCTGCCAGGGGAAAGGTGTGAAGTGTGAGGGAGCAGATGCAGGCTGGAAACGAGATTTCACATCACCCATGTGTTAATTAACCGGCTCCATTTCACCCAACAGCCTATTTATACCTCCTTACCACTCAGGTCTCCATATTTTAACATACCCATCCCTTCTGATCATGACATCAGCTTGTCCTCTGCCTGCCTGGGAAAGGTGGGTATGGAGGTGGAAGCTGCTGTCACCTGGCCCCACTTTCTGAGTGGACACACCTCATTCCCACTGGCTCATGCCCCCCACCATTCTCAAAATTCATTTCTCATGGCTCCTGAGGTTTCTACAAGTATTGGGCAGCTTCAAGGGGCTCTGGACTTAAGTGATTCCAACCTAAAAGGTACTCCTTGCCCATAGCTTGGCATGGGTGGCCCTTCCAGGCCCTGGCACCTTAGGGCCCCACTCTTCGATCTATAGACCTTGCAGCCACAGGCTAGGTTATTTTCTTCAGCATGTCCCTCTAGACCCAGAGTCTCCCTATCTCCCTGCCCTCCCCACCTCAGCTGACCCAGCTGTCTTGGTTGGTGTTGTGGGAAGCATGCCATCCCTTGGTCTGTTAATAATAAGTTCTTGGGAGGCAGGGCTCTGTGCAAAGAAGAAGCCACTCCAGGGTCCAGACAAGATGGATGGGTGCCCAAAAGCTACAGGGAGGTGGGAGGGACAGTACCCTTCCTCTGACCCCACAGTAGTTCTTGGTGCCCCTGAAGGCTTCCCTCCAGTGTCCCCCAAGCCCTGGGCTCAGTATATACCTCAAGGGGCTCTTGAGCCCAGGAGAGAGCAGAGGCCAAGCCAGTTGCTGGCCTCATGCCCAGCTGTGCCCATCCCACTCATTCACCCGCATCCCTACCACATGCTCACAGCCATCCTTCCAGCATTTCACCTTTGCTCCTCGGGATCCGAATGGTTTCCACCGTGGCCTCACCCCCACCCCGAGATGGGGGGCTCGTGGGCCAGGCCACCCCCATTGCTCGCCTCTTCCGAAGCCACCATGTTTCTTCCGCCTCTGTGTGTCCCCCGCCTCCTCTCTGCCTCTCCTGTCGGCCGCCTAGCTCCTCCTTGTCCCCTCGTCCACCCAGCAGCCTTCTCCACACGTTTGACTAACCTTTCTTAGCCTCTCCTCCCTCTCTATCTATCTCCTTCCTCCATCTGCTCCTCACAGGGGTGTCCCTGGGCCAGTGACGGGCCCCCTCGGCCTCTCCCTCTGCCTCTCCCTGTGCCTGTCTGTCCTGTGACCTCCGACAGCTTCAGGGGTGCTGACCATCTTTTCCCAGGCTGCTTTGCAGCTATGCTGACGCTGTGGTGTGGCCAAAATAACTCCAATTTTCTCATACCTTCAATCTCACGCTCTCTCCTCTCCTGCTCTATTTTTAACCTGACTTTACCTCTCCAGCTATTTCAGTCTGCTCTTCCTCCCCGTGCCTGTCTGCGTGAGCACGTCTGTGTGCGCGTGTGTGGCCGTGTGTGCGGGGCCGAGCGTGTGCCTGCCACTCTGTGTGCTGGTGTGTCTGTGTCTTTGGGGCACCTGGAGATCTGCCCAGGGGCAGGCTGGTGTGTCATGTGTTGTACAGCAAGGCTGGGTTCTCAAAGCAGGTGTATAGTGCACCTAATGACTGAGTGTTTGTCTCTGGGTTGCATCTGTGCCTTCCCTATCTATTTTGTCCCAATTCACATGCACACCTTTGCATGCTTGGGTCTCCTCTCTGGAGAGGTCAGTGTGCCCTTTGGCTGTGTGTGTCACCACGGCATATCTGGTTGACATATGCCCATTGCGCATGCCATCTTCTCCCTGCTCCTCTGGGTGTCTGTCAGGCTTGTATGTCTTTGTATGTGTATGTGTGTGTGTGTATGTGTGTGCACACCCTGCTGTTGGATCCTGGTGTCTTCCCCCAGGGCCTGGCATATTCTGAGCATGTCTGTCTCTGCCTGCTGTGGCCGCCTGTGTACTGCAAGCAGGTCTGTGCCCGAGGATGTGGCTTGTGTCCAGCCTGTGTGGCTGAGTCCATGGCTCTGTGCTTTCAAAGCTGTTCAGTTTTAACCTACCCCATGCCCTATGCCATCTCCTCCTCACTGCCTGTCCCCATCTCTTCCTCCTCATGGTCCCTGGGCAGGCTCTTAGTGGCCTGTCCCTGGGCAGGTTCCAACCTGGTCCCTGGGCAGGCTCTTAGTGGCCTCTTCCTATGTGCCAGCTGAATGGGGCCTGGGCTTACCACTTGCCTGTTAAACCAGAGATCCCAGCCTTCTGGGCCCAGCATGGCATTGGGGGTAGTCGTGGCTGCCTGCTAGGTTAGCCTGTCTTTCTCTGACCCTGGATGAGAGACTTATCAAATGTGTTGTCTGAATGGGAATAGGGTGGGGGCTGGGCCACATGGGGTAGCACATGCTGTACCCAAAGATGGACCCGAATTAGCACTTTTTGTGTGTGGTAGAAATAGAACCCAGGGCCTTTATTACATCAGACAAGCACTCCACCATTGAGCTAACTCCCTAGTCCTTAAATGAACTTGTATTAAATTTGATTTAAAATTTACTGCTCAGGGCTGGGGTGATAAGCTCTCTCAGTAAAGGGCTCACCACACAAGCATGAAGCCCTGAGTTCAATCCTCAAGAACCCATGTGAAAAAACAACTGGGCATGGTGGGTTTGTAACCTGGTGCTGGGGTGGTCAAGTCAGTCAGATCCCCTAGGGCTCTATGGCTATTTGGCAAATCCCAGACCAATGAAAGACTGTCTCAAAAACAAGACGAACAGCCCCTGAGAAATGTCAACCAAAGCCTCCACACACATATGCACACATATGCGCATGTGCACCCATACACATACATACATACATACATACATACAAATACATAGTGCTCCTCCACACTGGCCACATTGCAAACATACAGTTCCCAAGCACATGGCTACTACTGCATAAGTCAGCACAGAGAACATGGCTGTTGTAGCAGCAGACACTCTGTGGGATGCCATGTGGACAGTGGTCCCAGGCCCACCTGAGCTGCAGGGTGAAAAGCATCTTGGCTCTGATGAGGCTGAGCAAACACAGGTGGGGCTCTGGGAGCCAGACACTGCTGTGAAGTGTTTGCTGAGGGTAATGACGTGGAGAGACACCTGGACAGGCCACCTGGCAACTCCTCCTCCCAGGCTGGGTGGGGCAGGTCTCTGCAGAGCAGCTGAACTCAGAACGTCCATGTAAGCCAAGGCCTGGGAGCGGGGGGACTTCTGGAGGAACAGAAAGAATGGGGGCTTCCTCCAAATGACCCCCACAGGGGTGTTCAGCCATTCACCTGGGGCAGAGGCTGTAAGGAAGATGGGCCCTGAGTGTGAGTGTGGGTCTTCAGGGAAAACCAGGCCCTCTGTAAACAGGAGTCCCATTTCTGCCACGCCACAGGAGGTGACAGGAGCTAGGTTCTCAGAGAAGATTCTGCGGCTACCCAGGCCCATGGTGCCCAGCCAAGCCCCACCCCAGCCCACGCTCATTGGAACTCCTCCCCCACCTCATCCCCAGGTTGCCTGCAGGAGGGAAGGCTGTGAATACAGCCCCAGTGCCCGGCCAGACACCCCATGATGAGTCTGACCGCAGGACAGAGCCCCGCTCCTCTGTCTCGGACCTCGTCAACTCCCTCACCAGCGAGATGCTCATGGTGAGAAGGGTAGAGGGGTGGGCTGGGAGGGTGGGGAGGTGGAGGGACTGGAAGTGGCCAACTCAGGGGCCTAGATAACCAGGCCCAGAGTGATGACCATTCAAACACTTGTTGAGTGAATGAGCAAGGCCTGGGTTCTTTTCCCAGCTCTTTCATCAAAACTGCCTCTCGGTGTCTCAGTTTCCTCATTTGTCTTCCTTTGATCCCTTCTGAACTGAGAAAAAAAAACTAAAGAAGCCTATTTGTATAAGGTGTTTTTATGTCCTAGGAGAAAAGGCTACTGGGAAGAGGCCTTGTGGCAGGTGTTCCTTCTCTCCAGTGACATTCCATTAAGTGGAGGTCTAGGATGGAGCTCCTCACAATCCACCAGTGACCTTCTGTCAGGGCCTACAGCATGGGTGAACAGAAACCCATGGGTCCTGACGCCTGTGAGGCCCCACTCCAGTCCAGGTGCTCCTGTCCACACCCAAAGGCCTCAGCCCTGCAGGATCCCATCTAGGTTGTCCACTAAAGCTGGGGTTGTGATTTGTATGCACCCCCTAGTGGTAAGAGTGGGTCACAGCTACTTGTACTTTCTAGACAGTCCCTGGGTTAAAGCCCCAGGAGGGAGACCCACGGCAGGGCAGGGCATGTTGGCAGACAGGAACCAGTTAAAGGTTCGCTGGGTAAGAAGTCTACCAAAGGCTTGGAGAGGCTTGAGGTTGGGAACCCAGCACCTGCTTTGTTTCTTTGGCATGACCAGGCTCAAATCATTTCCTTGGTATCCCTCTTATAGAGGCAGGGAAGTGGGCTGGGAGGGCTCTCAAGTCCTCACCAGTCCTGACATTCAGTTCCCTTCCTTCACTCATTTCCCTGATACACAGATCCACCCTCCTCTATTTAGATTTCCAACCAGCTCTAACCTCCCAGCCCCACAGAGTTCCTTGCCAACCTGGCTTATCTCTAGTAATGATATCCACACTAGTCACAGTGCATCTGTGTAAGATGCAGCTTCCCAGGAATTGGACCTGAGGTGAAGCCCAAGAGCCTGCATTTCCCTTGGCTCTGGCCCTGTGCTGCACTCCTTCCATGCAGGCCAGCCCAGCCTCTGCTATGAGCAGCCCATTGCTACAGTCCACTGTGCCTCCCTGCACAGCCCCTTAATTGGCACTGTTTTCCAGTAGCCAGATTCCCAGAAGTGACAGCCCTTTCCCAGCCAGCTGGCCGGCCCCTTGCTGCCCTCAGGGAAGGGCCGGCAGACTAGGGCAGCAGAAGGAAGTACAGGTCCATCTCCATCTAGTGTGCTCCACAGATGCCCGGAGGTGGGAAGTCAAGTCTAATTGCTCAGTCCTCTGCCAGCACCCGGTCATTGTCATAACAGTGACAGCAAAGATAAGCAAGGCAGAATATGTCCTGTGACCTCAACCTATGGTGATTTGAAGATCCCAAGCTATAGAAACTGGTGGTCAGGAGTCACACACTTAGAGTAGACAGAACCACCCCCATCTGAGGCATACAGGACCTGGCACAAGCTGGCTCAGTGTCCTTTAAGGCTTCTAGAGTAGGGTTGGGGGAGTGGACAACCTGAATGGTAGTGTGATGGCTTGTCACTAGGGCTCGAGGCTGGGCCTTGAGAAGACAGAGTGGGTACAGAGGCTCTGCCTAGGGTCTCCTCCAAAAGCCAGAGGGACCTTAGGTGGGACTGGGGACATCCATGCCCTCAAGTGGCCCAAGACTCCACCCAAACGAGATGGAACTGGGAGGTACAAGTAGCCTTGGCTGGCACTGCCTGTTCATGCCACATGTCCAGCTACAAAGCAGGACTGCAGAAGGGATGCAGACCATTCACCCCCCGGGAGTCCTGCAGGCTAGGCCCTGTGGTCCCCAACCTGCAGGTGCGGGAAGTGAAGTTCATGGAGAGAAGGGCTGCTATGAACTGAGGGATAGCCACATTCTAGGTAGGCCTTTGATGGAGCCTGTGGGTTGTGGGATCAGTCAGTGGGGCAGAAAGGAATATCAGCACTGGGCTGGGCTGGGGTTGTATCTCACTTGGTGGAGTGCTAGCCTAACATGCACAAGGCATGCTCAATCCCCGGCACAAAATAAACCAGGTATAGTCATGCTCAGTGCTAGCCTAACATGCACAAGGCAACTGTCTTCAATCCCCAGCACCAAATAAACCAGGTATGGTCATGCTCAGGAGGTAGAGGCAGGTTCAGAAATTCAAGGCCAGCTTCTTCAGCACAGAGAAGTATAGGCCAGCCTAGGCTACATGAGACCCTCTCTCTAAACAAAAAAAAAAAAAAAAAAAAAAAAAAAAAAAAAAAAAATGTTCAGTACAGTTATCCCCCAGCCACTGCATGGAGCCAGGGGTCAAGTGCAAACTCTGGGTAAGTTTAGGAGCCAGGACAAGAGAATACCCACCATTGCTGGACACACACTTAGCTTTGGTTTCTGACTGGCCATCAGTCATGGGTGGCTTGAAGGGAGTTATCTAACATTTCTGTGTGCCAAGCCAAACTTTGAGCATGTAGAAAGGCAACGTACATGGCACAGGTCAGGGTTGGTGTATGGCAGGTATCTGGCCCATGTGTGGTATTTACTATCATGGGTGTGATTTAGAGCCTTCTCCCTGGTGCAGCAGCTCTTTGCTGTTGGTGGCTAGGGGAGGGGCTCACTCTGATCCTGGGATGTGGACCTGCTTTGATAGAAAGTGTGGACCTTCAAGTCAGAGAGGGTCCCTACTACTGTGCAAGCTTGAACATGTGACTTAACCTCTCTGAGCCAGTCTCCTCAGCATGAGGTCGATGACAGCTGCCTGGTCCGGCAGTAAGAAGGTGATGTACAGAGTCTTCACTATGGTAGGTGCCTCTGTCTGAGTCATTGTCACCTGTGGTATTTAGTGTTGCAGAGCCTGAGGCTGCCTCTCCAGGAAGCAGAAGGGGCCCAAAGGTTTCTGAGGGCATGTGGGAAAAGACAAGTGCCCTCTATTTTGTCCCATCAGCAGTTCCTTGGGACCCATTCCTTACTCTAGTCTGTCACCAGAGAGGCTGTGGACTCATAAATGCCCAGGCCAGCAGAGCCCTAAGGCCTCATTATTCCCAACAAGCAGCTACCCAATTGCTTCTCCCCTTCCCCTCTTGAGATGGAAATGTGGAACCCAACCCCTCCCTGTGACCATCCACTGCTGTCTACATCTGTCCCAAGCAGCTACTCTGAGGGATGAGGACTGGGCACAGGCAGAGTCTGGGTGCATAATCCCAGTGTCCAAGGTGCCTGCTCCAGCCTGATCCAGTCAGACTCCTTGGAGACAAAGCCTGGAAAGCCTGGTGTCTTAGCTTCTCATCAGCACACATTCCTCCCAAGCACTTGCCTTTCTCATCTTGTAAACTGCATCATCCATAGGCCCCAGAGAGTCTCTTTCATAAGAAATAAGCCTTTGAAGTCCAGGTTGAGGTGGGTATGTCTCCCATGAGTCCATGAGGCTGGAGAAGGAAGAAATGGAGGCCAGGACAGGTGGCACTTGGAGCTTGGCAGACCCGAGGCTGCAAGCAGAGGAGGGTGTCCTCCTGTGCACAGCTCTGGGGTCTAGGAAAGTCATCCTGGCCTGCCTCCCTTCCTTCCTGGTCAAGGCAGGGCTCTCTGGGCCTGAGCCTCCCCTGGCTGTGACTGTAATAGGTCACCACCCCAGCTGGCCCCACGTTGTGACTAGGAGAGGTTGGCTTATAGGCCTCCAGCCTAGGGAGGTGTTCGGACCCTGTTGGGCTGCCCAGAGGCCTGGAGAGGCATCCCCACCAACCTACCATCCTCTCCCACTGCAGCTCTCTCCAGGCTCTGAGGACGATGAGGCCCATGAGGGCTGCAGCCGAGAGAACCTGGGCCGCATCCAGTTCAGCGTCGGCTACAATTTCCAGGAGTCCACATTGACTGTGAAAGTCATGAAGGCCCAGGAGCTGCCGGCCAAGGACTTCAGTGGCACCAGTGACCCCTTCGTCAAGATCTACCTGCTGCCTGACAAGAAGCACAAACTGGAGACCAAGGTGAAGCGGAAGAATCTGAACCCACACTGGAATGAGACCTTCCTCTTTGAAGGTGAGGCTGGCGCTGTTCCCCACTTCCCACCTCCCACCTCCCTGCCCTGCACTGATCCCATCCTACACACAGGGCAAGACACACAGGGAGACCCATGCCTGTGCCACACAGGCATACAAACACACCTACAAGTATGTATGCATGAGTGTGTGTAGACAGATGCATACATGTAGGTGCACACACCCCAGAGGTGCCCAGTTAACCTGATGCATTTTGCATGTAGCTGAGATGGGTCTCAGGAGTCTACAGGAGCCTGTAACATACCAGCCACAAGTGGAGGAAGGAAACTGGGTACAGGATAGAGTTCCAGCCCAGACTCTGTGCTCACTCCAAGGAAGGCAGGAAGGATGGAGACACCTGTAGCATCCAGGGGTGCATTGCATTAGAGAAATCAGGTTAAAGGCCCTTGTACTTCTGGTGGAGCTGGACCCTCCTGGGGCTCTTCCCTCCCTCTTCATCTTATCAGTCTGTGGTTCAGGTTATTTCCCACTTGCTGTGTGGCATTAGGCAAGATCCTAAACCTCTCTGGGCCTTGGTTTCCTCATCTATAAAATAGAGGTCATAGTGAGAATTAAACCAATAGTAAATCTTTGAGACACTTAAAACAGGGCCTGACACCCAGAAAATGCTGATACCAGTTTGTTAAAGACATAGACTGCAGCTGGCCTCCAGGAGCATGAACTCTCAACCACTCCCAATCTTGTTCCAGAAGGCATTGAGCCAAAAGTTGGTTCTTGTTCCCAAAGCTGAACTTTCTCTCTTATGTCTGAGGACAAAGGATATACAGCTAGGAAACTGTTCCTATCCCAGGCCTGTAGGAGCCAGGGCCCCACCATGGGATGTCTTAACTCTTTCCCCACAGCCGGTTCAGCCAGTGAGAATAAGTCCTTGAGATTCCATTTTCTCTTTGTGCATTCCCTGGGGACTCATCCCCAACTGGCATCCAAGTCCATCAGCACTTGCCCATTCTGCAAGTTGACAACATGGTGTGTGCCTGTGTGTTTCCAGGCTCCTCCTCTCCAGCTCAGCATGGGCACCAGTTAGAGATGGCACAGCCAGCCAGAGGCTTGACATCTAGAGACACATGTAACCAGCACATATGAAACTTAGGGTGAAACTTAGGGGCAGAGCCCCAAGCCCAGCCCCTGCTCCCTTCTGCAAGTATCTACTCACCACCAACTCTTGCTGGGGACTGGGAGTTCAGAAAAGAGTGAGGCAATGGAGTGGCCCTCAGGTCATTCCTGATCTCACAAAGAACAAGTGTGTGTTGATAACTAAGCCATGTATTGCAGGACCCCTGGATGATCTCCCCTTGGTGTGCAGAAGAAAATTCCACCAAAGAGGGGCCATTCAAGATAGGTTCTGATGGATGAGTAGGCATTTTCTGTATAGGAGACTTTCACATCGCTCTGGAGAAAGCTGATTTGGGTACAGGGATCTCTTGGAGCCACTAATAAACCCAGGACACCTGTCTTCATGCATTTCACCTGAAGAGATGCTGAGGGTAGCCTGGGCAGGGCCCTTCAGGGCCTCCAAGATGAGCAAGACACAGTCCCTCTTAACAGGAGTAAAAGGAGACCCTGAAAGGATTCAGAGGAATCCTCATCCAGCTACTGTCCCTTCCTGTCAGAGGATCCTCCATGGTTGTGTCTTTGGTGATGGTACTAGAACCTTCCAAGGTTCTTCCTTCCCTTCATCTTCTTCATCAGTCCAGCTGTTGGGGATCCCTTAGATCTCCCCTTCTCTCCACTCGCCCCTCAGTTTAGGATCTCATACCCTAGACCTCCACCTGACCCTCCCAGAGTCAGACCTGCCCTCCTCTCTTTCCCCTTTCCTTCTGGCCACTCAAATGGGACAACTCACTGGCATTTACTCAGCCATGCAGTTTATTCTCTGTGTGTATGGTATATGTGTATGCAGGTACACGGGCACATTTGTGTATGTACAGAGAGGTCAGAGATCAACCTTGGATTTTTCCCTCAATCTCTCTCCTTACTTTTTGAGACAGGGTCTTTCACTGAACCTGGAGCTCACTCATTTACTAGAAGAGATGGCTCCAGAGATCCAGTGAGTACCTAGGAGCCACCTGGCTCTGTCCCATTCCCCACCCTCAGCTCTGGGGTAACAGAGACATACCATCACACCTAGCTTTTACATAGGTACTAGGGATCCAAATACAGGTCCTCATGCTTGCACAGCAAAGTACTTTACCCACTGAGCTATCTCTCATGCCCCCAATTATTTATTCTCTTAACAAATATTTTTCTGGGCCAGTGAAATGACTCAGTAGGTAAAGGTGCTTGCTGCCAAGCTTGACAACCTGAGTTCAATCCCCAGGATCCACATCATAGAGAGAACCAACTCCTGCAAGTTGTCCTATGACCTCCACACATGCGCTGTGACATGCATACCTATGCACATATGCACACAAAATAAATGTAAATTTTATTTATCAAGTGCCTAACTATGTACCAGAAATGGCATTAGATACAGGTGTCCAATTTTTTTTTTTTTTGGTCTTTTTGAAACAGGGTCTCCTGTAACCCCAGCTGGCCTAGAACTCACTATGTAGACCAGGCTGGCCTTGAACTCACAGAGATCTGCCTGCCTCTGCCTCCCGAGTGCTGGAATTAAAGGTGTGTGCCCCCACACCCAGCTCAGTGTTCAATTTTTTAAATCACAGAGGTAATTTCTGTGAACCCTGACCTGGCAGGCAAGCCACGAAATGATGGAAGAAACAGATAGATAAATCTATTTGGGCTTACCCTGGAGCCAGGAAAGGAAAGTGATGGAGTGTTGACAGGGCAGCCCACCCATCTGGCATGTCAAGAAAGCAAGCTCAGATCTGAATGATGTGAGTTGGCTGGAGCAGGAGTGGTGGGGTTCATGAGTCGGGATTGTGAGGAGCTGGAAAGAAAGCCCATGGGACTGGAGCCTGGCTGCCCAAGGAAGAGCGGGCACTAGCCCACGGGGGGGGCGGGGGGCGGCAATCAGGCCACATTGTGGAAGGACTGGGAGCCAAGGTAGGCTGGTTTTCCTTCTGAGTGCTCTGGGACCTTGAAAGGCTCTTGGCAGGAGCAGGCCGTGGCATGCTGGCTATTTTTAAAAGATCACTCTGGCCTCAGCATTGAGAATGGACCGTGGGAGGAAGCTTGGGAGCGGGGAGGGCGGTCTGGACACTCTTGTGGCTATCTGGGTAAGAGGTGCTGGTGGCTTGGGTGCCCGACATGGGATCTGTCCAGGATCAGGCTGATTCCTTGGGGAAAAGTTAAGGGGAAAACAGTCCCCAGGTGCTGGTCCAATCTGACTGGTGCATTTCGGGTTCCCCCTTGCCCTCTGTCTTTCTGGGGCTCAATTTTTCAGCCACATAGCCTCAGACAGTACCACTCACCCAGACTCACTCTGGAGAGCCAGGGGGACCTTGCCCAGCCCCTGAGACTGTTGTGTAAACCATTTGAGTCTCTCTTTCCCCCTCTGTTAAGTGGACAAGATACTCCAACAACAGACAGCACTGGGGGTAACAAGAGACAGGGTTCAGAAAGGGCCGCTGCAGGTGACAGCAGGACCCAGCCACAGGACACTCACAAGGCCTTCCTTCTTTCCTCCTTCCCTCCCTTCATTTCCTCTCCTTTTGTCCCTGTTTCCTCCTTCTTCCTTTCTGTCCTCCCTTCTCCCTTCCTTGCCTTTTTCTTCCTCCCTCCCTTTATTTCTTTCTCCCCTCCTTCCTTTCTTCCTTCTTCCATTCCATCCCCATCTTCCTTCCTTTCTCCTTTTCTTCCCTTTTTCTTTCCTCCTTCCCTTCATTCCCTCCTTCCTTCTTTTTCCCCCTCTCCCTTCTTTTCTTCCCCCTCCCTCCCCCTCTCCCACCATCTCTCCCTTTCGTTCTTAGTTTCTTTTCCTATTGCTGTGATAAAATACCCTCCTCACCTTGTTTATCTGCCCCCCCCAGGGTTTCCCTACGAGAAGGTGGTGCAGAGGGTCCTCTACCTCCAGGTCCTGGACTATGACCGCTTCAGCCGCAATGATCCCATTGGGGAAGTGTCCATCCCCCTCAACAAGGTGGACCTGACCCAAATGCAGACCTTCTGGAAGGATCTGAAGCCATGCAGCGATGGGAGTGTAAGCCCCCCTGCAACCCTCCAGCTGGAGAGTGCTGGGGTCAGGGCTGGCAGAGGATCCTGGTCCCTCTCAGCCTTAGAATGCAGCAGGGCTCTGAGTAGAACTTGGGTGGGCAGCCTCCAGGAGCTAGTTCCCACCTATGGTTGGAGTGCTGGGGTTTGAGATTTGAGCAGAGTCTCCTGGGCTGTGGAGTGAGCTCAGGACTCTGTTCAGGAAATTGGGAGTCCTGAGGGAGAACACAGACCTACCAGAGGACAGGAGATGGCATGACTGGTGACAGACAGTGTGGTAACACCCAGGTCAGGGCTAGTTCCCCCCCATCATCCATCATCCCTGCAGGGGAGCCAAGGAGAGCTGCCCCACCTCATGGCCCAGTCTCATCCCTCCTGTCACCCTGTAGGGGAGCCGAGGGGAGCTGCTCTTGTCTCTCTGCTACAACCCCTCTGCCAACTCCATCATCGTGAACATCATCAAAGCTCGAAACCTCAAAGCCATGGACATCGGGGGCACATCAGGTGCTGAAACTCATCACAACAGAGAATGGGCGGGCCAGTGAAAGTAGAGAGCTCCTGAAACCTGGGGGATCACCTGGGAAGTGGAGGGCAGGAGTGTGCTGGGGCCCTCACCCTCACCCTGGTCCCCACCAGTCCCAACCCTCCTGCTAGATAATTGGGGCCTCTTTAGGAAGGATATCCTCAGGGTCAGCAGTGCCCAGATGACCACCGCCCCTCCCTGAGTCAGGAAGAAAGGCCACTTTGTGGAGAATCCCTGCGAGTCCCAGCTTGAGTGGGGCTTGGGAAGCCCTGGTCTCTCTGGATGTCAGCATGAGGACATTAGGGAATAGCCGAGGTCCTTTCTGGCTCTGCCACCTGCTGATTGTCCCTGATCCCTCTCATTCTTGCCCTGGCCCAACCTCATCACCCTCCTGGGAAGCATGCAGCCAACCCCCACCTCATTTTCTACACCTGAATGGGCACAGAGATACTTGGGGTCTCCCTGACTCTGTTCCTCTGACCCTTCTCTCCTGCCCCCCAGACCCCTACGTGAAAGTGTGGCTAATGTATAAAGACAAGCGGGTAGAGAAAAAGAAGACAGTGACGATGAAGAGGAACCTGAACCCCATCTTCAATGAATCTTTCGCCTTCGACATCCCAACTGAGAAGCTGAGGGAGACCACCATCATCATCACCGTCATGGATAAGGACAAGCTCAGCCGCAATGATGTCATCGGCAAGGTAAGGGCCTGCTCTTAAGAGGCAGCAGGAGCTGAGGATGAGCACAGCCTGAACCCTGAGAAAGTCTCGTCAGTCCCTTTCCCTCTTAGGACTCCAGTTCTTTTTTCGAAAACAGGGGGGTGGGATGGGCTAATCCCAGTCTTCTGGCCTGTGTGTCCTTCAGGGCTTTGTCAGCTCAAGACAGATCACGAGGACAGGGAAAGAGAAAGAGAGAGAAGTGCCTTGAGTTCCTAAAGGTCTTCTGAATGGGTCCTCAGACTGGGTCAGCCCTGTTCAAGAGAGTGAGCTGGGTGGGGCTGTGATAGAGCCACAGCCAGCTATAAAAAAACTCAACCAGCTCCCAGCTAACCTTCACATAGCTGTGTGGCCTGGAGTAAGTCACTTGGCTTCTCTGAGCCTCTATGTTCTTATCTATAAAATGGAGTGAATGCCAATCCTCAAGAGTTTCCCAAGAGTAATATAAGAAGCTAGATAAAGATTCTGAATAAAGGTGACAGCTTCTCAAAGAAGCCAGACCCATCTTAAATTTTGCTACATTCTGATTGTTTTTAAATTTTTTTGTTTGTTTTGGTTTTTTGAGGCAGGGTTTCACTATGTAGTCCTGGCTTGCCTGGAACTCATTATGTAGACTAGGTTGACCTTGAACTCCCAGAGATCTGCCTACCTCTGTCACCCAAGTGCTGGTATTAAAAACATGTGCCACCATGCTTGGCAAGATTGATTGTGTCTGTCTGTCTGTGTGTCTGTCTGTGCATATGAGTGTAGTGTCCACAGAGGCTAGAAAAGGGCATTGGATCTCCTAGAGCTGGAGTTACAGGTGATTGTGAGCCACCCAATATGGGTGCTAAACTGAATTCAGGTTCTCTTCAAGAGCAGCAAGTGCTCTTAACCACTGAGACATCTCTCCAGTCCTACGGTATGATGCCATGACAGAAACTCTTTCACTTTCCTACTTTGAAAAGCTTGTTCCATACTTATGACTTAGTGTTGGAAGTGTGGGCTCAAAAGTCAGGTTGCCTGGGTCCAGGTTTCAGCCCAATTCTAATTTTTTGTTAACAGCTATCACCCGTCTGAGCTTTGTTTTCTCAAAATGAGAGCTCAGCAGTGTCAGCTACACAGTGAGATGGTTGGCCTGGTACTTGGAACATATATGTTAGCTATTATTACCATAGAAGTTAGTTTTGAAATGTTCCTACCCAGAGCATATGTAGCCATCCATTCAGTCACAGCAGTTTGTTTTTTGTCATTTTCTCATTTTGTTTTTGGTGGGGGTTTTTTGTTCGTTGTTTGTTCATTTTGAGACAGAGTCTTATGTAGATTATGCTGGCTTCAAACCCACTACATTGCTGAGGATGACCTTGAATTTCTGATTCTGCTGCCTCCATCTTCCTAATGCTGGGATTACAGGCATGCACCACCATGCCCAGTTTATGCAGCGTAAGAAATTGAATCCAGGGCTTCATGCACACTAGGCAAGTACTCTACCCCAGCCAAGTCATAGAAATTTGACCAAGAACAGTGCAGGGGACCAGTGGTCAGGGTGAAGGAAGAGAAAACACATGTTCTGGCCTTGCTTAGAAAAGGATGGTCTGGCATCAGCAGGGCAGGGGCTGACCTGAAGGCATTTCTCAGGCAGATGAAGGGAGAACCTAGCAGTTGGAGAAAGGCAGCGTGGCCTTGCAGAATGAACCTGGCCCTGGGAGTCTCAGGCAATCTGTGAGCACAGAACTCCAGCCACAGCACGTGCCCTGGGCAGGGCCTGCTGACAGCCCACTCCCGCACACTAGTCCCTGGCACAGCTCAGCCTTTTAGAATGAGGTGTTCCTTAACAGACCTACTTTCTGTGGGTTAAACCAAGGTAAAATTGGTTTTGTTCTTGCTTTGACCTGGGGTAGTTTAAAAAACCCAAGGACCTTAGAACCTTTGAGTCCCAGCCCCAGCTTAGTGCCTGGAGGCTGGGAATCTGGCCTTGCTCTATCTGGGCTGTGGCAATGTTCTGTGTTTAGGGTGCAAATTTGGGTAGGCACATGGGCACTTTGCTGGGATCCTAAGGTGATGGTTGGGGCTGTTGGTCAGTTAGCCTTGGGGAGAGGGAAGCCCACTGACTGAAAGGACTCAGTTACTTGGGAGCACCAGACATGCACTCTCTCCAGCTGTCTGCAGGGCAGGCGCTATCAGCCCCATTGCACAGAGGGACCTGAGGCTACAATGAACACCACCCCCCCAACATGGCACAGCTGGGATTTGCTCCCATTCTTTCTTGTTTTATTAGCGTACATTTTATTTGAATTATTTTATGCATCCATAAATCTCAGACTAGCCTGAGATTCACTGTATACCCTAGGCTGGCCTCAAATACACAGCAATCCTCCTGCCTTAGCCTTCTCAGTGCTGGGATTTTAGGATTGAGCCACCACACCTGGTGAATAGGGGGGTGTTCTTTCATTTTGGTCTTTTTGAGACAGAGTCTCCCTGTAGCCCCAGCAAGCCTGGAACTTACTATGTAGACCAGGGGGCCTTGAACTCACAGAGATCCCGCCTGCCTCTGTCTTCCGAGTGTTGGGACTAAAGGTGTGTGCCACCAAGCCTGGCTCTGGTGAATAGTTTTAGATTTACAGAAAAGTAGCAAAGCTAGTACAAAGTTCCCATACTCCTCTTACCCATTGTCCCCAGTGGCCAGCCTGTCATAGTGCATCTGTCACAGCTTTAGGAACTGACATGGTGCCTTGCTATGAACCAACCAGCCTTTATTTTGTTTCACCAGTTCTTCCATCAGTGCCCCACCTCTGCTCTAGGATGCAAGCCTGGCTAGTACATCATACTCAGGAGTCATGACCCCCAGGCTCCTCTGGTCTGTGACAGTTTCTCAACTTCCAACTTGTCACCTTGATGCCCTGGCCAGAGTCCTACAGCCCCTGCTGGTTTTCTTCCAGTGCCCCTGCTCTTAAGCACCCATCAGTGTCCAGGCTGGGCTCAGCTGGGCCTACCTTGGGGGTCTCTGGAGCATCCCTGCATGCAGCCCAAGACTATGAAGCCTTTATACAGGCCTGGGCAAGATTGGTAGTCTAGAGCCCCCAAGACCTGCCTTACACTCTTCTGAACTTTTAGACCTTGGCTGGAGGTTGGGGCCGGTTGGTCAGTTAGCCTCAGGGAGAGGGAAGCACACTGACTGAAAGAAGTCAGTTACCTGGGAGCACCAGACGTGCATTCTCTCCATGCTTTAGTTTCCCTATCTGAAAATCCTGTCAGGTTTGTAAGGACACTGTGACCTTTGGATGTCAAGCCCATGATGCAGAGAGACTGGTGGGTAGGAAATGTTAGGATGGCAGACAGTAATGATGGTGCCTCCTGGTAGGGCAGGGAAGGATGTCCCAGCCTGCTACCTGTTCCTCTACCTTCACCCCACTGCAAAATAGGTCGCAGTCTGATATCAAAGGGCCAGGGACAGCCACCCTGAGGGAAAGCAAAGCCAAAGCAATATCTCAGGCTGGTAGAGGGAGGAAGGACAGCCTCTGTGGGTTAGGTTGTCACCACAGGGCAGGGGCTGAGTCCTGGAACCTGCCATAATATGTCTTCAATTTCTCCCTAGATCTACCTGTCCTGGAAGAGTGGTCCCGGCGAAGTGAAACACTGGAAGGACATGATTGCTCGTCCCCGCCAGCCTGTGGCTCAGTGGCACCAGCTGAAGGCTTGAGTGGGGCCAAGGGAGGCCCGGGGGGCCAAGGCCTGGTCTCCATCATGCCCTCACCACTTTATGCACAATGCTCAGCCCCCAGCCCCCTTGGGTGAGGGGAGAATCCTGAGGGCTCAGCCAGGGAGGGGTCCCAGGACTCCACTGGGCCCCATTTCTAGGAAGTACCAGCCCCCCCCAAGGGTCCAGTTCTGGGGCGGGGTTCCGGGAGCCATTTCCCTGCTTTGCCCCCTTCCTTCCTAATTTGCTGATACTAAAGAAGTGGGGGAGAGCTCAAGAGCCAGATGGGCAGATGGGCAGATCCCTCCAGTGGCCCGCCAGGTGGGCATAGCCCCCCGTTTTCTTTAAGGCAGTGCCTGGAGAGAAGCCACCCCCTCCCCAGCCCCCATTTCGGGGCCCCAGGAGAGGGGAGGCCGAGGCATTTGGCCCGTGATAGGCCCGTCCCTGGTTTCAGGTGCCGGATGGGCCCTGGATGCCAAGGATAGTATATAGCCCATGCTCTGGGGTCCTGGAGCCATGGCCCTGGGTACTTGTATGTATCTACTCCGTGTGTGAGCGTGTGTGTAGGGGGGGTACTCACTCCCTGTCCCCCTGGGGCCAGCAGTGCTGACAGGCTATAAGAAGCAGAGTTTCAGTTTCGTGAAGGTGAGGTGGGGTTGAGTCAGGCAGAGGTCAAGGCCACAGAGGATAGGAGAGGGAGGGGCAGGGACAGCTAGCTGAGTGGGAGGGGTAGGGACCAGGGTAGATGCCTCCTGCCACCCTTCTTCCCCTCCCTACTCAGAACTCTCCAGTAGCAACTCCCCCACCTCAATGTCATCCCTCGGACCTGGACCCACACTTTGTAGGCACCTACTGTGTGCATGGCATTCTACCAGGACAGTGCTCTCTGCCTTCTCAGGCATCCCTAACCCCTCACTCAGAGACTCTAGCCTTCCCAGATCTCATACCAGTCAGGCTGGCATCTGCTACACACTTTCTGGTTTAGGTTATATCCCACCCACCCCTCACTCCAACATATTTGCAGTACTGATCTGCCAATCCCCCAACACACACACACACACACACACACACACACACACACACACTTTCTCCAGGCTGTCCACCCTCCCTGGTTCCACCCACTGTGCAGAGGTAGCAGGGAACATTCCAGGAGTCTGAGGTTGCCACACCCAAAGAAGATGCCGTTTCTCCTCCCAGCCTCTGCTGGGACTAGAACTGGCTTCCCCTTGGAGACAGCAGACTCCAAGATGATCCCTCCTAAACCTTGTCATCCCTCTATGCAAGTCCCCGTATTAAAAGACCCAGCAGACAACAGAGCCTCAAATCCAGGGATTCCGAGCCTGAGCCTGACATTCCTACCACCAGGTGGCGCCAGACCACCATATCTTTAGTCGCAGTTCTGGGCCACAGTTCAGGCCTGGATAGCAGGCCTGACACCCCAAGGAAGGGGACTCTGGATTGGATCTGTACATCCAAAGTAGGTAGCAAAAGCATAGGTGTTTGGTGGGCTTTCCGCTTGAACTCTGCTTCCTGTTCTAGGCAGTGAGATTTCTATTGTGGGCATCAAAATGTTCTTGAATTTCATACCCCATCCCCACCTTCCCCCTGGGACCTGGATGATATCTCATATGTAGTAGGTGAATCATTCTGTAGAGTGAAGAATGCCATTGTAAAGCACATAGTCTCCTATTATCACTTGTAAATCCAAATGTTTCTATACTGCAGCTTTTGCTTCATGTGGGGTCTGCCCCAACTGCCCTGACCCACAGAGCACAGCCCTCAGACACTGTATGGAGTAGGACAGGAGGAAGTCATCAATAGTCTGGAGAGGTGAAAGGAATATCTGTCATCCTTCCCTCAGATCTGCCTTGGTTTCCTGTACACCTCTGACTTGCTGGAAGCAGGCAAGTCTGCACCGCCTTCCAGGACCCAACTAACTTGCACCCAGTGGGCGTGGCAACAGCTAGCCATTTATATGAATCACACCCATGCACTTCTTATCCAAATACAGAAGGCATCTCCCATACAGAGTCAGTTCCCTTCCAGTCCCTACCTAGGAACATTGGCGACCCAGCCTGGGATTCCTCAGCCCCCACCTTCAGCTGCAACTGGAGATAACAGGCAAGAGGCCCTAGGTGGAGGGCCCAGGGCCAGGTGGGTTGACACAAGAGGCTTCTAGAGAATATGGAGTCATCTAGAGAATATGGAGTCATCTAGAGAATATGGAGTCAGGGGCAGGATGGTCTAGGGCAACTGGGGAGCAGGGAAATGGAAGAACTTGAGGGTGGGGAGGGCATCAGAGCTCTGTCACCACCATCCCAGATCGTGGGCAAGTCACCCATACTCCCTGGACCTCAGTTTCCCCATCTGTAAAATGATGGTAATAATACTTCACCTACCTCATGGGGGAGGTTGTGAGGCCACCATCACCTGACCTGGGGGGGGGGCTCAAGGCAGGAGGACTCTGAAGGTGCTACCAAAGCAAAGTGTCACCGAAACCTGAGAGCAAGGCCCACCTGCCCTTCCCCCACAGAGCCTCTAGGGACCACCAGAGCCAATCTGTCTCTTCACTGTGTCCCAAGCCCCTTCATGAGCATCATCTGACACCTTCGTGGGCACCCTAGACTTAGCTGTTACCTTGTTTCAGTATCCTTTCCTGTGACTGTCTTCTCCATGTTAACTGCTGTACAAATTCCACCTGCCCCCACACCCCCCCCCATCTGCTCTCTGGCACTAGAGGCCAGGGAAGGGACAAAAGGAAAATGGTCTACATAGTAAGTTCCAGGCCAGCTAGAACTACAGGGAGACCCTGTAAAAAAAAAAAAAAAAAAAAAAGCCAAGGGGTCTCCCAGTCCAGCTGGAGCCCCCAGGGGTGGGGATAGGTGGCCGCTGTTTGTATTGTGTTTGAGTCCTTGAGCGCAAGTGTTTTATAAAAAATAAAAACAAAAATCCACTATCACAAAAAAAAAAACAGCAAAGAGAAATGAAGAAAAATAAGGGAAAAAGAACCATACAAAATTTTTCCACCATATGCACCCTCTAAGCCAGCAAAATTTCCTCTTTGCAAAATCATATTTTTGTGGGAATGGGCCCTGCTTTTTGTGGCAAGGCCTGTTCTGATTAATAAAGGATCATGAAAAAGTAGGGCCTTGGCTGTTTCCTCTACCGGTCCCTGCCCCCTCACCTCCCCAAGGGAAATAGCAGCTGGGAGGCGGGAAGGGGAGCTTGGGGCTATCTTCCCCAACTAGTCACCTCTCGGCCTTGACTTTTCATTGGTGGCCTGGGTCTACCAGAACTTCCATCCCATCCTCAGATCTAGACTATGATCCCCAAACCTCACCAGCAGTCCAGAAAGCAGGGAGCAACCCAGGTTAGGTCTAAAGTAAAGTTTAGTAGTAGTGAAGTTTCCCCCAGTTCTCTTGAGGCTTACCCAGCTGGACACGCACCCCCTCTTTTCCCAAAGGACCCTTACCTTCCTCCCAGGTAGGTTAGACAAATCAAAGGTAGTACCCGCACATATGCACCACCACCACCTTACCATCACCACCTGCTCAACTGCTATGATTTGGAACTACTGTCTTCTTCCTGGTCCCCATCAGGGAAAGGACAGGCAGAGAGCTCTGGGTCTGCCAGCTGTGTCTGTGGTCTTTCTCCACCCTGTTCACTAGACTGATTCTCTGGGATTTGAAAAATGTCTCCAATCTAAAGAGCCTCCACAAGTTCCAGGCTGAGGGCCTAGATTGGACTCCAATCCCGTCCTGTCTGTGGCCCTGGCAAGCTGCATCCTTTGTCCTACCCTGTGTCTTCTGTCCACAAAGAAGCAATAACTTCTCAGCCACTCCCAGCCCAGCCCAGGGCAGCTGGCCTGGCAGCTCTCAGGGTACTGCAGAACCAAGTACTATATAAGTTTCAGGTAGGCACAAAGGGAACTCCACATCTCCATGGTCCCTGCCCCACTCTGGAGTGAAGAAGGTCACATACCTTCTGTTCCCCTGTACCTGGAGCCAGCAGCTGCATCCTCAAGTTGCACTAAGCCCTCCCCATTCTGAAGCTGCCTGCCCTCTCCCCTTCTGCCCCCTTAACTTCCAATGGCCTGTTTTAAACATCTCTTTAAAAGGTATGGGCTGGGAGGGGGAAAGAGTGGTTTCTTTTGGAATCTAGTCCAGAGGTTTGACGGAGTCCTGGGGTCAATTAAGTAGCTTCAGGGACAGAAACACACACACACACACAGAGCATGCACTCCAGGGCTTTTGTTTAACCTTTCTCTGGGGAAACAAGCCTGGGAAACAGCCTCAGCATAGACAGCTCAGCCCAGCAGAGGTGCCAGTCTCTGGTCACCGGCTCAGGGCCTGTGCCCTAGACGTCTCTGGCCTACTCTCTCAATGCCTGCTCTGAGCTACTTACCCATCTCTGCCTGTGCCTGGGACCATCTTCTTTTCCTACAACTCCCTCCTAGATACACTGATTCCCAGCCTTCCTGGCCTCCTGGTTCTCCTCTCCCTCCCTGATAAAGATTGCCTGAAGGACAATCTGAACAACTGGATGCCCCAGCCTGAGGTTTCCTGGACTATTTGTCATGAAGTCATCGCCGCATTGTCTGGATCCTTTGTGTGTTTGTGCATGCGTGTGTGTGTGTGTGTGTGCGCGCGTGTGTGTGTGTGTGTGCGCGCACGTGTGTGTGTGTGTGTGCGCACATGCTCGCATGCATGGGCATGCAAGTGAGTGAGTGTGTGTGTGTGTGTGTGTGTGTGTGTATGTGTTTAAGTATAGTGTCTCTTAGACTGTGAGCCCTTCCTTGGACAGGGTTCCCTGTCTGAATAAGTGTTCAGTGTGGCATGCCTGGGTGTAATAATAAATGTCCATCTTCAGAATCACAGTGCTCTGATGTCTTAAGGAGGCAGCGGGACAGATGGCCAAGAAAGCGTATGGTCTTACAGGAGGAGGGGTGGTGCTTCTGGGTAGGATCTCCAATTCTCAACCACCCCACTTTCCCCCTTTATCAAGTCCCTGTGGGGAGGAGCAGTAACAAAGCTGGGAAAAGACCCTCCTGACACTCCAGTTTGTGCTGCTCTGCCTGCCGGACAGGCGGTCAGCTGGTCTGAAGACTTGGGGACTGGAAGGGAGGGGGCAAGCTATAATTCCCATGTCTCATTTGCAGACCTGTCAGGCAGCCAAGGACAGCGTACTTCTTTCACAGTGTGAACTGAGCACCAGGTTAAGAGTCCTCTAATGGACCAATGGGCAGGTTACATACCCTCCCCAGTTTCTTGCCTACCGCCTCCGTTTGCCCTAGTCTTGTGATTCCCATAGCTTTCCCTCCCGCTCTTTTGGCCTCCACCCCTGCCTGGTACAAACCCAACTCCCTAGAGCTTCCTGCCCCCGCCCCCCAACTGCCCACAAGATGATATAGGGACCATAAATGAGGTTACGAGTGTCCTGTCCCCTTTCTTCCGGTCTCCTAGAGGCTAAGGGGAAAGTCAGGAAGAGGGGTAGGGGAAACCCCTCACACAGTGCTCTCTCCATCACCAACTGGAGCTGCACTTGTTCAGGGGAACTAGCAACAGCCCCTTCCTTTCCTCACAGAGTGCTTTCCAATTATCAGCATGCGCTCTAACCAAACAAACTTTCAGATGCAACCAGCTCCTCTATGGAAGCAAGTGAATACCACAAAGCACAGGAACAACCATTCTCTCTCCCAGACAGCCTCAGTAGCCCCTGCTGGGCTGATAAACAGCCATGGATAAGGGTGCCAAGCTTGACAAATCAAAAGGGTAGGAGCCTGAGCACCTCAAGATGAGATGTCCCACTGCAGGCCTTTTGTCCAGACTGGGTGGTTTTGAATGAGCCAGGATATCAGGGAAGGAGGTCAGAGAAATAGATTGGAGAGAGGAAGGAAAGCAGAGCTCTAGTTCCTTGTGAAAGGAAAGTAGATAAACAGGACGTATGGAGAATTGAGCTGCAGCATCAGACTTAAATAAACCCAACTCCAACAGATGGAGAGAACAAGGGCCAAGGGCACCCAGACTTAATCAAGATCACTCAGATCTAGGAGGGGAGCCCAAACCTAGTTCCACACCCAGGGGATTTCCCCTATGCCTGACACAGTTTCTTGGGTCAAGAGGTCAACTCCTGGTGGGCTGCAACCACCCAACCCATGTGATTACCTGACCTCCCAAATCCCTACCCCCAAGTTCCTGGACCCCAGGAAGAGCCCCAGCCCCAGATGGAAGCTCAACAGGGACAAAGTCCACAGCTGGGCCCCAGATCCACCTTGGAAAGCAGGGAGCCAGTCTCCCAACCTCTTCCCTCTCTGAATACCCACGGCCTTCGCTCACTCACTTCAGACCCATGCCCAACCTCCTACTTACCCAGGATCCAGCCCAAAGTCCCAATCCAGCTCTGGAGCTGAGCCTGACCTTTTGACCTTATAGGACATCAGTCCCTGTTGCCATGGTGACAGAGGCCTTCTCATGGGAGATGGACCTGTAAGCTTGAGGTTTGACCATTTTCTTCCTTTATATCCCCTCCCTCTTGAACAATGAGGAGAAAAATGATGCTAAGATTGGGGGGCTGGGGACCAGTACTGGGAAGAGAAAAAGGTCAGCCTAATTGGTTGGAGATTCAAGAACATCTAAGAATCAGGACCTTCAAATTAAGTTGCAGATGACGCTACAGCACAGCCAAAGGTGCAGTGAATGGAAAACAGGGGAGATACTCAAAGACATCAGGAGACCAGGCTTAAGAGGCCAGTGTTACTTCTCTGCAACCAGCAAACTAGTTCCCCAGAGAGGCAGGACACAACAGCTGGCCAGGGTCATCCTGACACCAAGCCAGGGCACACGAATAGGGGAGGTGCACTCACAGAAGGACCTGGTGCTCCAGGGATTATAAATAAATAGACATGTGGGAAACACACATTCTTTCTCCAAGAAATATAATTTATGTTTACAGCCATTTTTTTTTCCTTCCTAAAGAAAATACTACCTTGTGGGGCTCTAGCCCCCGACAGTGTCCCTGAGTGTCCTCGGCCCTGGTCCCCTCCTCCTGTTATTGCTTGGATCTGGCCCTGGGAATGCAGAGCCTGTCTCCTTACCCCCTCAGGGGCTGTCCCTGGTGACAGAGTGGAGGCACACAATGCCCGTCCAGTGCCCCATGCTGTGCCAGCCACCCTGGCTGTGCCCATGTAAGGAAATGGAGAGTGCAGGCAGTAGGAAGGCGCTGAGCAGTCTCCCAGAGAGCGCAGAACCCCTCTCTCTTCTGGGCAGGAGGCCCTGGAGGCACAGTGGCTTTTCAAACTTGACTACAAGCTGTAAGGAAGGAAAGGGAAGGGAAGGAGCGAGCTCTTTACTCAGCAAGATTTCAGGCACATGCTGAGAGGCGAGGTCAGAAGGAAAGGTGGGAACAGAGACCCAGCCTTCTGGGCCCCATACAGATACCAGGGGACCTGGGTAGGAGGGTAAGCAGAGGGGGCCTGGTGGAGGGCAACTGAGGTAATTAGACCCCAATCTGTGTCCTGCTCTTGTCCTGGACCGAGTCCCTACACCCTGCCCTCCTGAGCCAGACACCCCAACACACACACACACACACACACACACACACACACACAGCCATTTTATCCTACACAGTCCACCCCAGAGGTAGTGGCTCCAGCAACAGATACGGTGGGCCTAGGAGACCCAAACTCCAGATGAAGCTGGGCACCCTGGGCATCCGGATTCACTGAGTAGGGATGATTGATTCCATGGATAGCAGTGACACTGGTTCCAGGAGGAAGCTAGCTCCTCTGTTGTATGGCCAGTGGCTCTACCCCAGACTTCTTGGTCTGAAAACTGTCCAGAGGTCTGCCCAAGGCATCTTATTACCCAGGAGCATCTGGAGATGGCCTCAGGCATGCCTGTGCCCAGAGCTGGCTCAATGCCGCTCCTCCACTGCCCCCAATCAGGGGCCTAGCAGCATGCAGATCCAGGCAGCCAAGTCTCCCAGAGCCCTTGCTTCCAGAGTGGCCAAAGCCTAACACCCAGGGCAGAGAGGCTCAGGTGCCCAGTCCTGGAGGAGCTTCCAAGGCATGGAGGCTGTCTCTGGGGGGGACCAGGACTCGGGGTCCAGAGCCTCCTATAAGCAGGTCTTCTTCCTCCTCGTCCTCAAAGACCCGTGCTGGACGCCGGAGTGGCGGCCGCGGCGTGGGCTCGTCGCGCTCAGCCATGCGCTCGACGGCGCCCTCGCCCACGAGGAAAACCGTGTCTGCGACGCGCGGGGGTCCGGTGACCGGGTTGTGGTCGTAGGAGAAGACGCGCAGAGCGCGCAGCGGGTGCAGGTCGGGGAAGCCGCCCAGGCGGTTGCGGTCGAGGTCGAGGATGTGCAGCCGACCCATGCGCAGCAGCGCGGGCGGGAACTCCTCGAAGCGGTTGCCGTAGAGCCAGAGGCCGCGCAAGCCCGTCATTCGCGGCAGCTCTGCTGGCAGCGCGCGCAGCCGGTTGTCGCCCATCTGCAGCGATTGCAGCGCCACCAGGCGCAGCAGCGGCCGCGGGAAGCGCCGCAGGAAGTTGCCCTCGATCCAGAGGCAGCGCAGGCTCTGCAGCTGCGCGAAGTCGGCGGGCAGCGCCAGCAGCCGGTTGCCGCCCAGGTAGAGGCGTGTGAGGCGCGGCAGGCGGCACAGGCCGTCGGGCAGGCGCTCCAGCTTGTTGAAGTCCAGCGCCAGGATGCGCAGTTCACGCAGCTCCTCGATCTCCTCCGGAAGCTCACGCAGCCCGGTGCCGCTCACGTACAGCTTCTGCAGGCGGCTCAGCGCGCACACGGCGCTGGGCAGCCGCCTCAGCCGCCGCCCGCTCAGCTCCAGCTGCTCCTCGCCGCTGCGCAGCTGCTCCTCGGCGTCCGACGGCAGCTCGTCCAGCGTGGACTCCGCGATGCCCATGGTCACCGGCCCCTGCCGGGGCCGCCGCCACCACG